AGAGAGAGAAAGAGAAAGAAATTAGTTTCTTGTTTTCATCAAAGACCCAGAGAAATGAATTGACTCTGTCTTAGGCAAAGAGGTAACCAATCCAGCCTTGTAACTTCTGAATTTCCCTTGTTTGTGAGCATGATATTATACAGGTAGTCTTAAAACTAAAGAGAACAAGAAGCTGTCATGGTGGCCATGATTTGAGGACTTAGGAGGCAGAGGCAGATGGATCTCTATGAGTTAGAGGAGAGCCTGGTCTACATAGTGAGTTCCAGGACAGCCAGGGCTACATAGTAAGACCTTGGAGAGAAAGAGAGAGAAGAGAACAAGAAACGAGTTTCTCAGCTGAGTAAGGGCGTGTGAGACACTCTGCCTTTATCAGAATTGTTGCACAACTTCCCAGAGCCTTGATACACTAATGCACATCGTGATCACACAAAAGTTACAGCTGGGCATGGTGGCTCAGGCCTGTTGTCCCCGCACTTGTGAGGTCGAAGCAAGAAAAGTGTCGCAAGTTTGATGCCGGCCTACATAGTGAGTCCTGGGCCAGCTTGGGCTGCAGAGTGGGAGCCCTGTCTTAAACCACAGTCAGAAAAAGGAAATTGTAGAGTTTGCAGAACAAATTCCTGGGACTTATAAACCCACTTTGAAAATGTTGTATACTGTCTTCCTAACTTGGTAAGCATATGTTCTTATATACAGCGTGAGCTCCAGCTGTATTTTAGATGAATGGATGGGTGTCTAGATCCTGATTGTTGGCCTCTAGCCAGAGAGCATTCTCCCTTTTTGTTTCTTTGGCTGGTCAATTTTGACACAGGGTCTCACTATGTAGCCTTGACTGGCTTGAAGCTTGCTGGTCCAAACTCACAGGTCATCTGCCTCTGCCTCCCAGTGCTGGGACTAAAGAAGTATGCCACCAGCTGGGCGATGGTGGCGCACGCCTTTAATCCCAGCACTCGGGAGGCAGAGGCAGGCGGATCTCTGTGAGTTCGAGACCAGCCTGGTCTACAAGAGCTAGTTCCAGGACAGGCTCCAAAACCACAGAGAAACCCTGTCTCGAAAAACCAAAAAAAAAAAAAAGTATGCCACCATACTTAGCTAGTTTCTGCTTCTGGAGCCTTATGTTTATTTTCTACAACAAAGTACAGCAGAATATTTCTTTTTTTTTTTTTTTTTTTTTGGTTTTTCGAGACAGTGTTTCTCTGTAGAATATTTCTATAAAGAACCAGACAATCAGTATTTTAGCCTTTGTAAACCATATACAGTTCTACAGCATCTTCCTCCCTCCCTGCCTTCTCCTCTTCCTCCCACCCTTTCTTCCTTTCATCCTTTCTTCCTTCCTTCATTTCTTCCTTTCCTCCCTCCTCTCTCAGAAGCGTGAAAACTTCTTAGCTCTCAGGTCAAGAACACAGGCTAGTGGTAAGGACAGAGCAATATTTTGGCCTGACCCATGGTTTGCTGGCTCATGTTCAACCATGCTCACTATATCTATGAATGGTGTGCAGAAATTTTCCAGGTTTCTGCATTTTGCTTTTGTTGGTCCTTTTAAACCACCCTAGACAGTAGCCACTAAGCTACTTCCCTTTTCTAAAGCATTAGTTTTGGGGATGGCTCAGTGGTAGAGCACCTGTTTAATACACTTGGTTCAATCCCCAGTTCTCCTACACACACACACACACACACACACACACACACACACACACACACGAGCACTACCTTATTGAAAGAATAAGACACCACATGCTAAAACTTCCAAATTGCCAGGCAGAGGTGGTGCACACTTTTAATCTGCCGTGCTGTGGCTACTATAGGCAAACTTAGTGTCAGGGACTGGAGCAATGGCTCAGCAGTTAAGAGGACCTGGTTTAAGGTCTCAGCATCCACAAGGTAGCTCACAATGTCTGTAATTCCTGTTCCAGGGAATCCATCACCCTCCTCTGTTGTCCTTGGGCGCCAGGCGTACAGGTGATGCACAGGCATAGCTTCAGGAGAAATAACCATGCACATAAAATAACTAAAAAGACAAAAACAAAAAATGTCTGTCAACCATTTTGCAGGTCCCCTCTCATTGGACCTCAAGCTGGTTCTAAGAGGCAAGTTAATACGATCTCCACTGATGCGCCAAGAGGCTAGTTAACATGTTTACCTGCTCAGAGTCAGGTAATAAGTACAGGACCCACAGCATAAAAGCCGGTCTCCCTGGCTCCACAGTCAGAAACTGTTTCACTGTCTCCTTCTGATGGGAACCACTTCCCTGAGCTCATGATCAAGGTATTCACAGTCAATTTCTTACAGTGTCGTAATTAATTACAGAGAACATTAGCTTGATTGATAAACGTTTCTCATGCTGGCCTTCATTCAGTCTCTGTACAGATTGATTTCTTGCATTCACCCAAGTTCAATATTTGAGTTAAAATTCCATTGGGTTCTTGGCTCAGAAATAGATTTATATAAATATACCCAGTCGGTTTTTGACAGATGCCAAAGTAATCCAATAGAGGGAAAAAATCGGTTTTTCAAAGATATCTAAGTAATTGACTATCCACAGGCAAATGAATAAACTTGGATCACATAAAAAATTAACTCGAAATGGATTTACGGCTTAAATGTAAAATGTAAAACTATACAACTTTTAGAAAGAAAAAAGAAAATCTTTGCAACCTGGGGCTAGGCAAAAAGTCTTTAGCTCCAACATCGAAATACAACCCAATAAAGGAAAAACTAGTAAGTTATCAAACTTACCATAATTAAATACTCTATTAACCTTATCAAAATTAAAAACTCTATTGACAACAGCATAAAAGAGATGAAAAACTTACAGACTTGAAGAAAATATTTGTAAACTCTATACCCAGCAAAGAACTCACAACACCCAGCAGTTAAAACCCAGGCGCCCAGATATGGTGGCACACGCTTACAAGCCCACTCAGAAGCTTGTGCCAGGATTGTGAGTTCAAAGCCAGTTTATATTATGTCATAAGTTCCAGACTAGCGGGGTTATACAGTGAGACTTTGCCTCAAAAAAATAAATAAAATAAAAATAAAAATAAAAACAGTCAAATAGTGGTGGTGCATGCTTTTAATCCCAGTTCTTGGGAGTCAGAGGCAGATCTCTGTGAGTTTGAGGCCAGCCTGGTCCAGGACAGTCAGGCAGTTACACAGAGAAACCCTGCCTCAAAAAACTTTTGAAAAAGGAAAGAAAGAAAGAAAGAAAGAAAGAAAGAAAGAAAGAAAGAAAGAAAGAAAGACAGACAAACAAAAACCCCACAAACATCAAACCAATGGGAAACCTGGCAAAAGATGTGAACAGACATTTTACTAAAAGCAATGCACAATGGCAAATGGACATGAAAGGATACACGGCATCGTCAGAACTGCTAAAGTGAAAATGTACGGCAGTGCTGGCAGCTGGTGAGGATGCAGAGCCACCAGACTGTCCACACTTATGCCTTGTCAGTGTGCACACCACACTCAAAGTCACCGTGGAGGAGATATGGCAGCTCTCACATAACTCAACACCTAACGAAAACCAGGAGCTATGCCCTTGGCCATTTACCCTAGAGAAATCAACTTAATAATCAGACAAAACTTCTGCATGCTTGTTCTAGAGACTTCATTTCTAGTAGCCCCAAGTGGAAAACCACCTCTCCCAGATGTCCTTTAGTGGACGCATTTTAAGCACATTGGTAAATCTATTCCATGGAATACTACTCAGCAGCAAAAAAGAAAAGAGCTTTTGCCACTTGTAGCATCTTTGTTGGTTTTTCAAGAAAATCATGTTGAATAGAGGGAAAAAAAATCCAGGCTGGGGAGATGGTTCTGCAGGTAAAGGCACTTATCACCGGACTGAAAATTTAAGTTTGATCCCTGGAACCCATATCATGGAAGGAAGGAGGCAACTTAGGAAAGCTATCCTTTGACCTCAACATGCATGCACCCACATACAAACATCACACGCACACAGCACACACACACACACCTCATACACACACCACCACCACCACATACACACCACACACACACTGCTGCCACCACACACACACACACACTGCTGCCACCACATACACACCACCACCACCACCACCACCACCACCACCACATACACTGTTGCCACCACACACACTACTACCACTACATACAAATACCACACACATACCATTACCACCACATACACACCACACACACTGCTGCCACCACACACAAACACACACACTGCTGCCACCACACCACACACACACACACACACACACTGCTGCCACCACACACACACACTACTACCACACACACACATTAGGCGGAGGCTTATTCATTCCCTGCTGCCCAGACCCGAAATAATCACATGGAAACTATATTAACTGAAACACTGCTTGGCCTATAAGCCTATAGGGCCTCTTGTTAACTAACTCTTATATCTTAAGTTGACTCATTTCTGTTATTTTATATTTTACCACGAGGCTCGTGGTTTACTGGTAATGTTCCAGTGTGTCTGTTTCCTAAAGCAGCTACATGGCATCTCCCTGACTCCACCTTCTTTTCTCCTCCATCTCTGCTTGAAAATCCTAGCACCTGGGAGGTGCTCTATTCTGCCCTGCCAGAGGCCCAAAGCAGCTTCTATTAACCAATGGTAACAAAACACGTTCACAGCATACAAAAAGAAATCTCACATCTCACACAAAACACACACACACACACCACACATATACATACACACCACTACCACCATACACACACATACAAATGAATGAATAAATAAATAAATAGCTGGAGAGAGAGATGGCTCAGCAGTTAAAAGCTCTTGCTATTCTTATTCCAAAGGACATGAGTTCAGTCCCTAGCACCCACATTGGATAGCTTGCAGCTGCCTGGGACTCTAGCTCCGAATCTGATACCCTCTTCTAGCTTCCTCTAGCACTAGTGCACATGTGGTATGCACACACACAGACACACACACACACACACACACACACAAATAAAAACTAAAAATAAATCTTCCTTTAAAGGATGAAAGTATGCTCACACCAACAGCAAATATACTAAAATTGGAACAATACAGAGAAGATTAGTATGGTCTCTGTGCAAAGATGACTCAAATCCATGAAGTATTCCATATTTTTTAAAAAAAATGATGAGCTGGGAGGTGGTGGTGCACGCCTTTGATCCCAGCATTTAGTCAGAGGCAGCCAGATCTCCATGAGTTTGAGGCCTCCCTGGTCTACAGAGTGAGTTCTAGATCTGCCAGGGCTGTTACACAGAGAAACCCTGTATCGAAACAACAAAACTTAAAAATACTATCTCAAGCTATGCAGTGGTGATGCACACCTTTAAACCAAGAATTTGGGAGGCAGAGGCAGGTGGAATCATCCAGAGCTAATTCCAGGACAGTCTCCAAAGCTACAGAGAAACCCTGTCTTGAAAACAAGACAACAACAACAAAAACCCTATCTCAAAAGCATACATACTGTGTTAAGGTTAATCTTGATTTTTAACCTTACATGTTCTCAAATCACCTAGAAGACAAACTTCTGTGAAAGAGTTTCTTCCTTCCTTCCTTCTTTCTTTTTTCTTTTTTTAAATTTTTTTTTTTCACGACAGGGCTTGTCTGGTTAGTCCTAGCTGTCCTAGAACTCACCTTGTAGACCAGGCTGACCTCAAACTCACAGAGATCCACCTGCCTCTGCCTCCTAGGTGCTAGGATTAAAAGCATGCACCACCACCGCCTGGATGTGAGCAAGTTTCTAGGTTAATTGAGGTGTGAAGGCCTATCCTAACTACAGATAGTCCCATCTTATACACTGGGGCGCCACCCTGAAGAAAAGGGGGGAATGAACTGAGACCGCATTCACTTTTCTCTGCCCGGACCTGGAGGCCAAAGTAAGCCCTCCGATCTCTGACTTGCTCTTGTCAGGTATTTTGTTGCAGCAATGAGAAAAATAACCAATACACTGTGTGGTTCTATTTATAAAGCATCCTTTATGTGAGCTGGAGAGGCAGTAAGTAGGTTGGCGCTCACTAGTAAGGAGGGAGAACAGAACGCGGTGGCTGTAAAGGGAGGCACAAGGCGTCCTTTCAGTGGGAATGTTCTGTAGCCCAGCTATGGAGGCAGCCAAGCAGTTCTACACACGTGAAAAAATTATAGAAATAGATATACAGATGCACAAAGATAAACACATACATGAAGGCTGAAAAACTGGTAAAATCTGAAGATGGACAAATTGTGTTACATGTTGCATGTATTTGTTCATCCATCTAGCCATTAATTCATTCTTTTTTGGTTTTTCATTCATCTTTAAATTTTAATTTCTTTTTATGTGTTTGAGTGTTTTGCCTGCATGCCTGATACTAGTACCCATGGAAGTCGGAAATGGAAGGAGGTATCAGGTCCCCTGGAACTCAGGTTAAGGATGCCTGTGAGTCACCATGTGAGTACTAGGAATCAACTTGGTCCTCTGCAAAAGTAACAAGTGTTCTTAACCACTGAACCATATCCCTGGCTACATAACCCTGGCTGGCCTGGTACTTGTTATATAGCCCAATATGTACTCAACTTCACAACCAACCTCCCAACAGCTTCCCAAGTTCTAGTATTATGGACATAAGCCACACCTAGATGGTAGGCCACAAGAATGTCAAGTTCCTAGTTATGATAGTTACACGTGGTATTACCATAAACTGGGCATGGCGGTAATGATACCTGTATTCCCGTGGTGCCTAATATCCCAAATATTCTGGAGGCTGTGCAGGAGGATTATGAGTTTCAGGCCAACATGGGACTGAAAGAGTGCTGGTTAGTGTTTGTCAACTTGACACAAGCTAGAGTCATCTGGGAAGAGAAAACTTAGCAGAAACCCTCCACCAGATTGACCTGTAGACATATCTGTACGGCATCTTCTTGATTAATGGTCGATGGGAAGACCCAGTTTACTGAGGGCAGTGCCCCTCCTGGACAAGAGATCTTGAGCTGTATGAGAAAGCAGGCTGAGCAAGCCATGGGAAGCAAGTCAGTAAGCGGCATCCCTCCATGGCCAAGGAATGCCTTCAGCTCTGCTCCTGCCTCCAGAGTCCTGCCTTGAGTTCCTGCCCTGACTTACCTTCATGATGGACTACAGACTATAAGCTAAAATAACCCTTTCCTCCCAAGTTGCTTTTGCTCCTGATGTTTATCACTGCAATGAGAAGCAAACTAAAACACAGAGCAAGACCTTATGCTTAAATTAATAAATACTGATCAAGATAGTACCTATGTGGGAGTGAAAGGATTAGGGGGTTCTTAGAACGATGTATTTCTTCATTTCTTCCCTTTCTTTCTTCCTTTCTTCCTTCCTTCCTTCCTTTCTTTCTTCCTTTCCTTCCTTCCTTCCTTCCTTCCTTCCTTTCATTTTTTCCTTTTAACCTGTTAATTTATTTTGGCTTATAGTTAAAAAAAAAGAATAAGAATCCACTGTGGTGAGTAGGAATGGTAGCAAGCGGCAGGCAGGGTGGCTTTATTTATTTATTTATTTATTTATTTATTTATTTATTTTTGGTTTTTCAAGACAGGCTTTCTCTGTCATAGCTGTCCTGGAGCTAGATCTTGTAGACCAGGTTGGCCTTGCACTCACAGAAATCCACCTGCCTCTGCCTCCTGAGTGCTGGGATTAAAGGTGTGCGCCACTATCGTCCAGCTCAGAATGATTTCTTATAACTACATTTAAACCCATAGTTATCTCAAAAGGGTTTTGTTGTTCTTAATTTCCGAGATGGTTGCTTCATGGCTCAAGGTGAGTTTGCCATTTAGTTGGTCACTTAGCTCACCTCTAATAACTTGTGTCCTCTGTACATCATCTCTTTAACACAGCCAGGGAAGAAAGAAACACTGTTATTACGTCTCCATTTAACAAAGGAGGGAATGGCAGCTCTGTGGGCGAGAAGTCACGCTCTAGTCCACAGAGAGATGAAGAGTCAAGCGCAAACTCCATACCCACGACCTTTGCACCGCACCTCCACTCTGTCAGTGGTCACCTCTCAGATCTTTGCTGAAAGACTAGCCAAGGTTTTCCTTCTCTGGAATTCCTTGAGACTCCCTTAGATCTTCCAGTTCCCAAGACTAAGTGTAAATCCCAGGAGCATCACTTGAACTGTGTCCCCTTAGAAAGTCGCTGCAGCTCCTAAGTCGGAGCTGGAAATTCCAGCTTTGTCGGTGGATCACATAAAGCAATGCATTTCAAAGGGCTTTGGGCGCACCAAAGGGGGCAGTTATTATTAATAACAGGGGACGATGACGTAAAGGCTAAATATAGGCCACTCGGTCCTCTTTATCCTCTGGTTTGATGGGAGATGCTTTGAGGCTGAGTTTTAGACCTTTATTTTGTCTTAGCACCTTCTGAATGTTCCCTAGAGTGGCCGGTTCCCAGGAGGCCTTGCTAGCTATGGTTCTGACAGAAACATGGTCAGAAAGAAAAGTAGAGTATTGATGATAAAAAAATAAAAAGCCTTGTACCTAAGCAAACTTTTCTCATAAACTGTGAAGAGAACAGAGTATGGTCTTAGTCAGAAACTGGCCCCTGGACTTCCTGTCGCGTAACCCCAGGTAACTCCTTGTTTTCGACTTTGCAAGGGTGGTCTCTGTCTTTTCAGGAGCACACAAGAATGTGGAATTTGCAAAGTACTTTAAGGTACACCATGCCCTTACTATTTATACCAAGCAGGCCCCTTGGCTGGCTTCAGGGCAAGGTTTTTCCACATAAAATCAAGCTTTTTGTGTGCTTTCCCAGCTATGACAGACAACCTTGCGAATTCGCAAACAAACTCCTCAGCTTTATTACTGGTGCCAGTAACACGGCTTTTAAAGGTACCTTTCATCTCCACATCTTAAGCCACGTTGCAAACAGTAATTAAAGCTCCCCGATGAGGGAGGAGGTACATATTATCCAACACATTTCCAAACAGGTGAACCCAGACTTACAAATTAAAGACCTGGCCATAGGTCACCAGGGGTTGGAGCAGGGAGGAGAGTAGCAATAATTCTAGACTTAGAAGCCAGGGGTGGTGGCTCAGGCCTGTAATACCAAGACTTGGAAAATGGAGGCAGAAGGACTAAAGAGGTTCATGCTCAGCTACCTATGGGGCTAGCCTGAGCTACATGAAACTCCACCAAAAAAAAAAAAATTCTTGTCTTCCCAACTCTTGAATTCACCAGGGCTTTGGGTAGTAAGAGCCTAAGAAGCAAAGTGGAAGTGGCCTCTCAGAACTGACAGAGCTCATACAGTGATTACAGGGGCTGGGAAGAGGAAGAGGAAGGAGCCTCCTCTTAATAGGCAAGAAAAGGAAGGAAAAAAAGGAGGACGGGGATGAATATATGAGGGAAAACAGGTAGGTGTACGGATGGATACCCAGATACACAGATGAATGACAAGAGCTGAAGAAGGAAGGAAGGCACTTAGAAAATACTGTAAGTAAGCCGGGCGGTGGTGGCGCACGCCTTTAATCCCAGCACTCGGGAGGCAGAGGCAGGTGGATCTCTGTGAGTTCGAGACCAGCCTGGTCTACAGAGCTAGTTCCAGGACAGGCTCCAAAGCCACAGAGAAACCCTGTCTCGAAAAACCAAAAAAAAAAAAAAAGAAAAAGAAAAAAGAAAATACTGTACGTATATTTTATTCTTGAATTTGGTTGAAAGCTCACCCCAAGACTCAAAGATCTTTGTGGAAGAGAAGGGCAGAAAGACTGCAAGAGCCAAAGGAGGTGGATAACTTCCAGGACACTGTTTCCCAGGCATAAAAGGGCCAATGAACTTAAGAGGATGTGTGGCAGCCTGCACACCACCTGCGGAGGCTCCACCCAGACAACACATTCTGTCGACAAACAGAAGGACACATGAGTCACCTCTAGCTGAAGAGCTCTGAGCGTTTGATAGCTGTTGGGAGAAGGAAGGCCAGTCTTTTAAAAATGATGTGACCCCTTGTAGCCTGACCATACTGTGGAGCAGACGTCAGTCCCAAGAGTAGGTGGGTACCACAAACTGGATTCAGTCAGGAAAGAAAACACTTAATCTCAGAGTTAGGTGGGAAGGAATGGGAGGGCTGAGAGGCTAAAGGGAAAGAGTCGAGGAGTATAAATATGTCCAAAATGTGTTGAACGA